CAGACCTTTCTCGTCACCTCTCTTCAGCCACCGGTACGACAATTTCAAGGCAGACCGTGTACAGACGCTTAGGGCAGATTGGTCTATATGCTCGTAGACCTGTCAGATGCGTTCCACTTAATGCAACTCACTAGTCGGCTGCGGTTAGCCTGGAGTAGAAAGCATGCATTGTGGACACCGCAACAGTGGGATTGTGTGATGTTTTCCGACGAGTCCAGGTTTAGCTTGCAGTCTGATTCTCGCCGGACTTTCATACAGAGAGCTCCAGGTACCCGTTACCAACAAGAAAACATCATTGAACGACACCGTTACGGTGGTGCAGGAGTGCTCGTTCGGGGTGGAATTATTCTGGGTTCCAGAACTGACCTGCATGTTCAAATTGGAACCATGACAAGCCAAATCTATCGGGCCGTCATTCTGGAACAAGATGTACGTTAGTTTCGGGGGCGCCATGGGCGCACAATTTGTGTTTATGGATGACAACGCCTGTCCTCACCGTGCAAGCATCGTAAGCGAATGCCTTCAATTGGAGGATATCACCCGTATGGACTGGCTAGCATTCTCACCGGGCTTGAATCCAGTAGAGCACGTGTGGGACATGCTTGGCCGACGAGTTGCAGCCCGTCAACCTTTCCTACATGTCTGCCGGAACTTCGGAGAGCATTGCGTTTTGAGTGGTGTAATAGCCCCCAAGATCAGATCGATAATTTGATACTCAGCATGCCTAGGCGTTGTACGGACTGTATTGCATCATCTGAGAGACATACAATGTATTAACAATCATACCAACCATGTGATATTGGTTTTTTGTCAATAGTTTTTTTTTTGTAATTTGCTCCAGGGAGAAAAAATCGCTAATTTTTTTAATCAAACATATAGCACCTTTTTTTGCTCTTTACCTTTTGTTTAATAAATAAGCTTTACAAATAAGTCAAATTTGTTTTGCTTCTAACTCTTCCTTTGCCTGATTTTTGCATTATCCTTAATTTATGGACATGAGTGTAAAAATTTCTTCGAACATAGAGAACAAAATAAACAACTTATCAGTTGCATGCAGCTTGGACATTTTTTTTATCTGAAATTTTTCTTAGAATATTTGCTATAAAGAGATCTTTAAACATATCACTCATTTCTTTTATAAATTTAAAAATGTCTGAAAAAGTACTAAGTCCAACGTCAGAGTTCCGTTTGTTCTTGGTCTGAACATCCGTGGAAAGTTTAGGCATATTTGCCTGATCAACAGAATTGTCTATTCTGCCCTTGGCTAACACTAGCGTAGCTAACACCAGGAACAACATTAGAAGTACTTTTCACAGCAGATTTTAATACAGCAGTTATTTACATTTTTAGAATTCACATTATTAGCCATTTTAGGAAATTTAGGACACCCACGATAATTCGCAGTGTGTCCAGATTGTAAGCAGTTGCAACAATTACATTTTCTAAACGTTTGGCAGTACAGTTCTCAGTTTTAGGAGGCCCATGCATTTCACTCAGTGGGGCTTGACACATATCGGAAGTATGGTGGAAGTGCTGGCAGTTTTGACACTTCCACTGGATTTATACACAGAAATATCTACATAAAAGCATATAAGATAGGTTATATCATAGATTTTTATCTACTTCAGGCAAGTTTTCAAGCTATACCTGTAACAGAGGTATAGTTCTATGCATTTGAGAAACCTTACGTGTTTTGAAACCAAGTTTTTCAATTTCTTCGTGAATTTCATCAACAGGGCAGTCAATAGGGAGACCCCTAATGACTAACTTTATGGGACATTCAATCTTAGTAGTAATGAATGATAGTCAATTTGTTTTTCGTTGGGATACCTAGAAATTTGCCTATGATCTGACTCAGATCTAGAAAATACCTTTAAGAATTCTTCCGTAATTTTTACAGCAAAATCAAGTTTAGTATCAGTTTTAAGCATTTTTGCAAAATCAGAAAATTTGATATTAGGCTTTACCGTAATAGGTTTTATTATGTGGGGTGTAACTTAAATAATTTCTGGTTCCCCCTGCATATCTACATCATTCACATTATTTTCAACATTACTTGCCAAACAATCAAATTTGTTATTACGAGCAATATCCACATTTTATTTGACAAGTATAGCAGGCCTGGCCACGTTGCGTGGCTGAACGAAGCTGTTAGAACCTTGCTATTCAGTAACTCCTCTTTTACCCCTTTTTGAGCCCCTTTTAGGCTTTGGGTAACAAACATTAGCATCAGATTTAGTTTTACTAACATCATTTTTACTTACATCATTGTTACTATTTTTAACATTTTCATTATCAAACATAACATTTTTGACATTACTGGCAAGAGATTTAACATTATTAGTAAAATTTCTCTAGAAATATCATTATATAGCATTAATATAATTAGGATTTTGTACACCAAAGTTCTCGCACTTACCTTTAAATAGATGAATCAGTCCTTCCTCAATTCCTTTTTTTCTTCTGAAATTGAGTAGCAATATATTATTTTCATATTCTGTTTTGGCATTTCCACACATAAGTTTACGAGCCCTTTCCATCGTATGCGTAGCAGCTTTTAGTAATGCAATTTGTTGAAGCACACACAAGTAATCCTGTAGAGACAGTGAATCTGCATTAATGAATCCAGTTCAGTTATTGACCAACAGAATCATGAATTTTGTCCTTAATGCCTGCCGCGTGCTCACGAACAGTAGCGTCGGCATCCGTTTTATTTATCGAAGTAAATTCGTTTTCCTCCATAGTACGAGGTAGGCAGAAATAACTTGAATCACAGCACAGAAAATAAAATATCACAGCACAAAATAATAAATCCACAAGGGTAATCCAGAGTACGGTAATAATAAGAATAAACAGTTTTAAAAACACACAGAAAAAACTCGCACAGCTCACTATTATAATCGAAGCACGAGGTATCCGCATGAGAATCCGCGAAATAGCACACACGTGAACAAACTGACGGAGCGAATAAACACACGTCTAACAAGCTCAGCAGGTGAATCCAATTAACGTTCGTTTAAATTAAAAAGTATATTGACCCAACTAAAAATGTTGAGGTAAACCTGCTTAGATATGCCAACTTCAGAAGTATGTCTTCTTATAGCACTCGACAAGTTTTCTGTCATGGAGTTAGGACTTAGTAAAATTTTGTGATGTATTCTGGAAACCCAGAGTGTTTAATTTGTAAAATAGTCTGTCAAACCAGACACGATCGAAAGCTTTCGATATATCGAAAAAAAGAGCTCCAGTAATACTTAATTTTGTAGACCTTCAGGTATGGTATCCATCACTCTGTGGAGCTTGTGAGCTATGCCTTACGTACTTCTCCTTCCTCTGGAAACCATACTGTTATGAAATTATAATTTTTTCCTCATCAAGTAATTCAAGTATAACGGCTTCGATTATCTTGCTCAAAATTTAAGCTGTATATTTTAAAGCATCCTCTAGGGTCTTTCCTTGATGTAGGGGAGAGGCCCCAGCGCCATTAGTGAGCTATCTCACTTATGCGGCTAATTGGGCCTGAACCCTCATTCTGGTCATTTTCACAATAAATGGGATTTCACTGAAGACTCTGCTTGAAGTGATAGTTCTTGTAGAGATGAAAACATTGAAAAAGTGAAGATGATGTTTGCCAGAAAGAACAGTAATGAATACTAACATATACAAGGATTATAAGGCTCTCTGCTCTCTCTCTCTCCTCTCTGCATACCTTCATGATGAAACGGTAGAGCACTTCGCGTGTATTCCAGAGGTCCAGGTTCAAGTGCTGGCAAGAGTATTGCACGTTTTTCATGTATTCCTTCCTGTTTAAAAAAAATCCTAATGACTGCAGTGGTGCCCAAACTAAAAGGTAGTGGATGATGATACTTCACCACCAGGATTTGGTGATTTCGTCCTCTAATTCCCAGCCGCCCTTTAGAAGGAGAAGTACGTAAGGCATTTTCTACCTCCTCTCTGCATACCTTCGGGGTATAACGGTAGCACACTTGGCGCATATTCGAGAGGTCCATGTTCAAGTCCCGGCGAGGGCATTGCTCATTTTTCACATCATCATGACTCTGCAGGATGCTCTGGCGAATTTATTGAGAATGTTCTTTGGTATATGTCCGGAAAATACCATGCAGGTGAGCTTTTGGTTCTTTCTGCATGATAATGGCTGGCTACATTTGGCGTTCGTCACAAAACAATTTATGGCCTGTAGGGGAGGGTGTTGTAGTTCTCAGTCATTCTACTTTCTGTTCCCGAACCAGAACTGAGTCCTAATGAGAATGATTTTCTATTCCGGACGTTCAAAGCCATGTGATGTGGGTTTTCCACGCGATACTGAAAGAGGACTTTGCGCACGGTTATCAGAAACTATTCAGTCATTGTCAATAGTGTACTATTGGAAATAATGGGTTACTTCGAATAAGAATATAAGAAGTGTTTCCTGATTTTTAGATAAGAAGGATTTATTCATGAATATATTCGCTGAATTTTATTGTCATACCATGTTCTTTTTCTCAAATAAGTTTATTTATGTATGACACTGTAAACAAACACTTTTTGCCTAAAGGAGATATGCTATCAAGGAGTTCCTAAGGAAAGCTGCCTTAAATTTGCACAATATGTGAGAAAAGCCATAGAAAACATTTCACTTACGCAAGGGAATACATGAGGTTCTAATATTCCATTGTTTTGTGGCTTAGACACAATAAATTATATCGTGGGTTGACTTTTATTAAAAAATGATATGTTTAATAAACATATTTCTGATGTGAAAGGTAAATAGTGTACTCTTATTAGTTTTTGGAAACATATTTCTGATATCAAAGATGAATACTGTACTCTTATTAGTTTTTGGAATCTAACTTCCCCCCTTTTTTTTTTTGCTATTTTTTAATTTTGTAAAGAATGCTTGTGCGTAACACTGTAGTTAGTTAAAATCTAGTCACTGCATTACGTGATAGTTATTTTTTGATAATGAAATCAAAAAATGTAATTATTTATTTAATTTTAAGTTACTGTTGCCAAGGGCATTGGAAATGGGTATCCGCTTGCAGCTGTCATTACAAGGAAAGAAATTGCTGATCATCTGAATAAAGCATTAACATTTAATACTTTTGGAGGGAATCCGGTGGCATGTGCTGTAGGATCTGCAGCTCTTGATGTAAGTAATTAAAATTTTTTTTGCTTGTTTTGATTGCTGTAGGTAATTTCTAAATAACATAATTTGAAAAGTGCTGGTTGCTCTTCCTCTACAACTGCACAAAAAGACTGATATTTAGTGGTAACAGTTTAACGCTATGAACACTAGACGGCAAGCCAACTTTTGAGTATCATCTGCAGCACAGGAAGGAAGATATTTCACTAAATTCTGACTTTACATCTGCATTCTCGAATGCATCTCGTGTGTTTTCGCTATCCAGAGAGCATTGTAAAAGGCGTTTGCAACGACGTAAGAATTCCTGAAATTTGACTATGTAATGTGCCAATATTTTGTCTGATTGGAGTTCCTTTAGTCATAATCAGAGTCCAAGCTTACATTTTTCTGGAGCGGAAGGAGTAATGTACACCTCCAATAAAGTTGTAAAGATCCCAGTTACTTGTCGTTTTAGACCTCGTCACTTCTGCCTTCCGTTTTCCAGCCGGAATGCAAATTAATTCGTGAGTATTTATGGTATGGTTTTTAAGACTGTAAGACAGAGCGTGTTCTGCCTCTTAGGGCCACGTTATTACGTTACTAGCTCAGATAAGATTTGTAGTCTTCCGATTGCATTGTAATCGCCAATACTCAATTTCCATGCCGATTGGGAGCTAACTTCGTGTTAAATTGATTTGTGTAGCCTTCGGCTATGAGCTTACGTGAATTTAAATTTATATTTGATTATTCATGTAAGTTATGTCACCATAAGTGCTGGCTGAGCTTATAAGCACCAGGTGTACCTTTTGTCCTTCTTAGTTTTAAATAAAAGGATATACGCCCTTCTCAAGTTTGAGTTTTTATTTTAGCCTTAGTGATAATTCGCTCAGCGTCTACCAAAAGTTTGGACAATATATGATGATAGCAAAACATATCAAATTTTGTAGTGGTGCCCCCCAAAAAGTAAGAACCATACCTCAAGAGAATTCAGCTTTTAGTCTGACACTTTCAACATTGCAGGCTCCACTGGCACCTTGTTTGAGGGGTTTCAATTCATCGTGGATACGATGTGAACATCCATGAAACCCGCAGTGGCTTTTGATGGTAGAAGTTCCATATTCACAGTTTTGACACAACTGGACTCGCATTTTTTAATTTATACCTACTGTCTCTCCCGGTAGTAGTTTATTGTACAGGCTAGGATTTATACCGTGAGAGTCTCGGTGCCGGAGAATAAAAGTATGAGCCTGGTGGTTCCAGAAACTCAAGGGAAGATCGCCTTATACAGTTGGACCAAGGGGGAATTAGAGATAAATTTCCAAACTAGAGGTATTGGTAGTGGTGCAGCGACTGGTTCGCTGTCCACCGAATATCCATGTAATTCCCCTACGGCGGTGAAGCTTGTGTAGTACTGGTGGGTAGCATTTTTGACGACCACTCAGATATTCAGGCCCACAGAACTGCACTGCCAAATGCGATCCAAGACCTTGAAGTGGTGACCGCATGTGCCGAGTGGCGGGTTTAAGAGACTATAAAACTCTGTCACCTGATAAATATGGGACTGGGTGGCAGCAAATGAGATTTACGAAAAATCTCCAAGTAGGATTTGCATGGAACCTGCATAATAAGGAGGACTTAAGAGGGGCTTAGCCCATGTAGTGAAAACTACATTGGAGCAAGTACGCATTTTTTCTTATAATTATTAGCTGCACTGTAAAAAAAAAGCTTCAGCTTGTATGATTCCTGTGTTTTAATCTGAAGTTGAGGAACCTTAAGAACTCATAAACTAATAATCGCTTGAGTTCGTGAGACAATGCCCAAAGACGTCACCTGACAAAGACTATTTCTCAGTTTCTTGAAAGCTGTTTCTTCGACTGGGCCTCATTGTATAACACTTGACGCATTCTTTCTCTTCAAATCAGTTAAAGCTCCAGCTATCCCTGCGTAGTTCGGGATACACGTGAAGTAAAATCTCATGAGACTCAATACTGAGCAGACTCTCTTTTTTTTTTTTTTTAATTCGTGGGCCTTTCTATCTGTTTAATTGTTGCAATCTTAGTAGGATCCAAGTAATGGTTACCATTTCCTATCTTACGACATAAGTACTCTATTTCCTTAGCTGCAAAGTCGCAGTTACTGAGTTTGGTAGAAAACCTTAAATTTTCCAGCTCCTTAAAGATCATTTCTAAATGCTTCAGCCGTTCTTTGAACCTTTTTTGAAAACATGATATCATCATCATTATAGGCTTGGGCGAAATCACTGTACCAGGAAGGAGCTTTATTCATTCCCCCTTTGAAAAGTACCTGACACACCTCCCAAACCAAACGGCATGATATTCCACTGAAACATCCCGTTGTCAGTTGAAAATGGCATCAACAGTTTACTTGATTAATCCATTTCTATTTACCGGTGGCCTCTGCACATATCTAAACTAGATAACCATTTTAAATGCCCAGTCACATATATTAGTTCGTGCATATCCTTCATAAGAAATACAGGGATCTTAGTGACCGAATTTAGAGCCTTGAATTCTACACACATTCTAATTGTCATGTCCTTTACTGCAACACATACTCTCAGGTGTGCTGGCTACTTACGACGGTTCAGTGAAACCAAGTTCTCTCCACCTCTTTGCCACTTGCAATTGAAGTGCTATTAACAGTGAGGGTTTCTCCTATCTGTTCCCAGAATAAGTTTGATTCGATGTTTTCCTACTCTAGCGGGTTGAACACGTCTCAGAAATATATTTCTGTACTTCCCTAAAAGTAGTTTTAGATAATTAGTCTACTTCATGTTAAGATCAGCATCTATATTACTTATCATACCTTCAATATCACTATCCTAATATAAAGAAGAGAGAATATCATCTACCTTACAAAACTCCTCCCAGTCAAATATTACACTAATTGCATTTGACCGTGCGATGAATTTTTCAGATTTTATTTTGGTGTACACGTTTAATGTTTCCGTCCATCATTTCTACCAAAAAACCAAAAAAAGAATATGGGTGTTTCCTTTCCTTTTATTATTTCGGGACCTTACCTTCGAGTATATAATCTGTTGCTTGAATCAGGCATGAGTACTAGACATTATCTCCGATTTCAAAGGTTTTATTGAAAAACGCAAATTATAATATTGGGCCATCATATATTGTTATATTTCGCTAGTAATGCCAGCTTCAACCGCTCCTTCAAATCTTGCATAATGTTTAGGAATTGGTTCAGTCAAATTTCAGTTCATTATGCTCTCCTCATCATGCAGATTTTAAAATTGATAACAGTTCTTGTGCCGCCCTGCCATATAATAATTGGAAAAGTGATATCCCTATGATGATATGGTTATTTCCTTATACGGCCATAATGTGTAAGGAATTTGAACACGGTAAGAGCAACCTTCCTCTCTAATAATTTGAGGCAACATAAGTTTCAATGTCTGATTAAACCTTTCGACTAAATCATTTGTTTGAGGGTACATGGGTGTCAAAAACCTCGGTCTTGACTCTAACCTTTTCTCAAATTCCTGCTTTAAATCTGCGTTAAAATTGGTAAATCTGATGCAATAACATTAGCAATTCCTGTCCTAGAGAAAAACTGGAGAAATGCATCACAGGTTGTTTTTGTCGTCAGGCTAGTTAATGGCACTGCCTGCACCCATCTAATATGTTAGTTTACAAAGTACAAAATATTTATGCCCTTTCAAACTTGGTCGATCTATAGGCCCAATTAAGTCTACATTGACAACCTGAAAAGGTAACCCTGGTCTTGACACTTCAGTAACTGGCACCCTATCCTTTACCTTCACTGTCTTGGTTATCTGGCTAAGTTCACATGATTCGCAAAATTTTTGGACATCCCTTTTTTACATTTTCCCAATAGAAAGAATAACGCATTCTCTCTATAATTTTTTTAATACCTATGTGCCCTCCAAAAACTGACGCATGCGCAAGGTCTAGAATTTGACTTCTTCCACACTTAAGGCTACTACAAATATTGCTCTACACTTTGTCCTAAAATTTTGTCCCAATGAAAAAGAAAGCTTTCCCTCACAAAATAGTTCCCTTTATTTACCTTCACTTTATCCCACATTTTAGATAGGTCAGTGTACTGTTCCTGCTGCTGTTGAAACTCCGCTGCCTGAGATAAATTTATTGTTTCCCCTTCTAAGTGCTCTCATGCATCAGCAATGGCTGTTGTGTAGCTTTCTATCCCCTCTTAAAGTAGTTTCTGTCACCATTAATGCCGTGGAATTCTTCGTCTTGCTGCACAAACCACTCCGCCTTTCTTCTGTGCTAAACCTTCAGATCTCTAAAATAGTTATCGTCTGTAACATATCTAACACCTGTGGAGAGTATTAAAGCATTTTTGTCTTAAGACTTTGCAACTGCGAAACGTATGTCTTAGGTAATCAACAAAATTTGTGCTGTTTCCATTAATAAGTGTTCTAAAGGTATTCTTATTACCTCGTATATTGTTGGGAGTCCAAAAATTCCTTTCGAATGAACTGCCGACCCATTTCCGAATCTGAACGCTGGAATTATATTTTCCTTTAGGACGGTTATCTCACTACCCAGATCGATTAATGCATTACTTACCACGGACAAATACAAGGGCTAGGTCATTCCTTTGTTCGACTCGTCGCCGACGCGAGCCTCATGGAGGAGGGAAACTGGAAGTAATCTGACGTATCTCTGTTGCACCTGCTCTGATTTCGCGCCTTTAAAACTGTAGTTTCATTCAGTTGCGAGACGATTTTCTGGAGGTCGCATATCCCAAATTAATTTTAATCATACATATTTGTTTTCTAATAATGCAAATATTTAAAATAATTTGTGTATATATATGCAGTTTTAGTCAGTTTTCCTTTTAAATTCTATATTTAAAGTATCCTTTGTAATATGGCTTCTTGTGCTGTAGCAACGTGCCGTGCCGAACACTTATCGAAATACGAAAGGAAGAGATATTGTATTCAGCATTCTCCAAGGACAATTTGCTTTTGACGAAAAAATGACATTAAATGTCGAAGACAGGATTCTATAATGTGAAAAACGCAAGAATTTGCAGCGAACATTTTCTGTGCAGTGATTATGAAGATGACATGAGAAATCGCTTGCTTGGATTGCCGCAAAAGAAAGTGTTGAAATGCAATACTGTGCCGAAAGTAAATTTATCGTGTGCAGTAACGAAATAACGCCAAGAAATCGGAGACATTTGAAAAGAAAAAATGCAGAGTGCTTTTGAAAGACTACACGAATTAAGCCCAAAGAAGAAATATATTTTGAGGCCGAGAACCGAAATGAAGCTGACAATAATAAATCAAATGTGAATGATTTTGAAATATAAACTCACAAGTGACAATGTCCTATGTGACAATATCCATGAATGCCCTAAGTGTAAAGATAAACAAGAATGCATTGATAATTTGAAGAACAAAATAATATCCTTAGAAATTGTAATAAAATATTGAAAAATAGAGAAAAGAAAATTTTAGAATGTTTGCTCAGCGACAAAGAAGGTGGACGACATCTAGAAAGAAATTTGTGTCGGAAATTCAGAAATTAAAATCCCAAATAGCGAAATTTAGAAAAAAACAGCACAGCTCGGAGAATTTGGAAAAACGTCTAAAGTATATTTTTACAAAGACGTAGATTAATGCATTGCTAGAAAAGAAGGAAAAAATCAGGTGGACTAGTGAAGATATTTCACGTTGCATTGTCATAAGAGCTCTGTCATCTAAAAGCTACGATTTTTGGAAGGAAAAAATGGGAATTCCTTTACCTAGCACTAGTACATTAAAGAGATGGTGCGCTAAATTTCATGTAGTCCGAAATTCAGAGTGATGTTCTTGCTGTATGAAGGAAAGATGCGATATTTTGAATTCTGTAGAAAAAAATATGCGTTCTAAGTTTCGACGAATGCACATAGATTCTAACTCTGCTGTGACTCTAAACTGGACCAAATTTCGTCCTTTTCAAAAAGTGCAGTTTGTTTAATCAGAGGTTCATTTCGCAGTGGAAACAATCAATATTTTTGATTTTAACACTGCAATGAAGAAAGAACTTCTTTTTCACTCATAAGACTATTCAATCATCTGGAGTAGAAGTGAAAGCAATAGTGTGATTGAGGAGGATCTAGTACTTTGTGAAAGAGTTACAGATTTAGATTAATAGTTCTCAGTTCCAATCCAGAAACGAAAACGAAAAAATTCCAAAAACGAAAAAATATGGTTTTTGCAGATTTAGCGCACTGCCTCAAATCACTTAAAAACACTTTTAGATAGGATTTGTTTTAGAAGATGGAACTGTTTTAAATGTTGATTTATTAAAGATGTTTAAATAAACATTCAGGAGAAATTAAATTGTGTGTCACAAACTAAAAACCAAATTATTAAAATGGGTCAAGAGAAACGAGAGACAAAAAGTCGCTCCAGCGAAAACATTATTTCAAAAACTACAGCAAAAGGTATACTCCACCTCACAGGAAATAAAAAAGCATCGACTTCTTTGAGTTAATCGACAATTTTTTCGATATTTTGAATAGTACCAAAAACATACCCTCCTTCAGATAAAAGACTTAAAGCAGATTTGGATTAAATGAACATCATGAAAAACAATTCAAGTTTTGGAATTAATGAAGAAAGTCATTGGTGGATTAAGAGTTCAGGGAAAAGCCAACTTACTGCCTTTCCAAAAAGGAATAATAATTTTCAATAAATTCTCTTTTTGGCCTACACCAGGATTTGAAATTAATCTTATGATGATGCTAAATATATTTTACCCTCTAGATTAACTCAGGATGCACTTGAAAGTCTCTTAGTCAGATTCGAGGGCTTGGAGGTTTAATGACCATCCATCACCTAGTGAAGTTATACGCTGCTTAAAGCAATTAATACTCGCTAATAAGCTGCCAAATTTATCTCAAAAGTATGCATGACTAAAGAAAGCAGAAAATTGATTCATATTAACATCCGAAATACTTGAAAGGGCTTTGAAAACTGAGGGGGAGATGCTTTCCATTAAATACTATTGATGATTTATATTTGGATTTATAGAGGAACCTTCTCTATGGCTGGGAATAGAATTGAATTCCGACAGACAATTTTCGACAGCCGAAAAAGAAGCATATGTTAATATGTTGCAGGTTATATTGCCTATCGTGTGCGAGACAAAGACCCATCATTGGGAAGAATATCTAAAAATAGTGCTGATGAACCAATATTTAATTCAGAATGGATTAAATTATTGTCCTTAGGAGGTTTGACTACACCTTCTCATTCATGGATGAATACAGTTTACGAGTTCGAAAACATATTTTGTGCAGTTCATGGTACAACTTACTGTAAAGGGAAGCATGTAATTGGCTCTTTAATTAATAAACTGGAGAAACATTATCCTGAAGTTAACAGAGAAGCAATTCGTTTATTTCACAGAGTGCGAACTTTTATTAGAATACGTTTCTTAAATAGAAATGCATATGTTTTTTCCCAAAGAAAAGCAACCCAAAAGGAAAAAAAAAAAAAAAAAAAAAAAAAAAAAAGGATTGCTTCGAATGTGGCAGCCAATAAATAATGTTTCAACAACTTGTAGTTGCATTGCGATGTACAAGTAAGCATATATAATGTTTTGATTTGAAATATTTCTAGATGACAATTTTAGAAGTTAATAGCGTAAAGCATATTTCAAATGAGAACTAATTCTGTTAAGTATTGTTACAATTATTTTTATTGTATCCTCTGTTATTATTGATTCGATTTTGTGCTAGCTTAGCATTCTGATAATATATAATAAAGATAATAAAAGTAATTGGCATAAGAAGACCTGCCCCCTCAACCCCACTTTTGAAAATAATATTTTAGGTCCTGTGAGTAAAGTTGTTTTGTCTAAATTAAGATAACAATCTTACATGTATTTATTTAAATGAAATATTGATGTAAGCCTAAGTTACAAAATTATTAAAAAATATTATGTATTATATTGAATCGGGAGAAAAAATATGCCAATGTAAAATTTACAATTAGACTGAAACTCAAAATTAGATTAGCAGAAATTTTGCCATATATGTGCATATATAATGTTTAAAAACTATGCCAATTTAAGGTTTTTTTTTGATTAATTTTAAATAGCTGTTATATAGTTTTATTTTAGAAGCAGTAGTAGTAAGTTTTCTTAGTAAATGCAGATAAAGAATGATTAGAAACAAAGAGGCATTTAAAGAAAAAAAAAAAAATCCCCTGCAAATAATAAAAAAAAAAAAAAAAGGACTTAGCTAGAGTAGCGCATTTTATCTATATTTTAAAATTGAGTAGTACTATTAATTTTTTAATGTTCAAGTAAAATGCATACTGCAGTAACATTGTCTCTTCCAAATTAGCTATCTTTCACACACAGCTCATTTTAAACGCTGGTTCTTCAAATTAAAACGCTAATTTCTATGTTGTCAATTGCATCTCCGCGCTCAGTGGCATCATTGCTACGTCATCACTCCCCGGTGCCTGTTTCAGGGGGAATCGCTCTATGAGCTAGCCCTTCTCTTTAGTCCTGTTACTTACCCGACCATTTACGCTTACCCGCACTCTGTCCAATTTGCATAATTCTTTTTTTTTATTGATTGTTTAGAAATTTCCTTTCCAGAACATCGTTCTTTGACAACACTAACTCTATTTTCTTCAGTTTCACTAACTTTGCCGTCATCTATCGTATCTGTTTTATTTATTTTCACAAATTAGTCTGTCCTATTTTTGTTTTAAGGCCAAACACGTTAAAAATGTCCCTTTGACCTGCACTTTTAAAACATGCGAAAATTTTCAAAGGACAGTCTATTTTCCCTCATTTGGACCATGTTGAAGCTTGTTTGTCTGAATTAAATTGACAGTATGAGCCTTAGTTACAGTAAAAGGTATTGATTATAACTAGAATATTTTGCTCTGATTAATACTGACTTAAGCTGTACATTGTTATGAAAACATTACCTTAAAAACAAAAAGACCAATGAGAATTTCAGAAAAATATAATTTAAACAGCAAATACAAGTTTAAATGAAAAAAAATCTAGTGCTTCAATTAAAAAAAAAGTAATTTTTATATATCGTAGACGGTATAAGAATTCCTAGTGCAATCTTTTACTAACAGGCATTAACCTTAGTTTTATTCCAATATATTATGTTTTGAAATATTTGACTGCTCTTTAGAATATCTGATTATACCTTAAGAAAAGCACACTGCTATATAAAATTAGTTTTAATAGGTAATTGATGAAGAAAAATTGATGGAGAATAGTCATCATGTTGGAACACATCTTTTGCATTCACTTTCAAAACTTAGAAGAAAATATGAAATTGTCGGTGATGTTCGAGGAAAAGGATTGATGATTGGTGTTGAAATGGTATCTGATAAGGTAACGTGATTTTGTTTCATATATTTAGGAATTTTTATATAATGCTCATATTCTAACATTACCAAATATTGCATGCAAAAAAGTAGTATGAAGAATAGAACCCTATTTTTATATTTTTAAACTGTTTTGTCAAATACATTTATCAGGGATGAAAAGCTGGAAATAAAGTAAAAATTTTTAAGTTTTGACTATTAAATAATATCTCTTTCACTTCAAATTTTTTATTTATAAAATTCATTTTTCCATTTTTTATTTCGCTAAGTGAACAGATGACATTAACCTCACATGTTTGGCTCAAATTGTGCACATGTATGATTATAGGACTTTAAAATAAGTGTATTTGCAGTGTCTTCTATGCTTAATGTACACTATGCAGAAATACATGTAGAAATTCCAGTCAGTATTCATGCATATTACATGACATGCTTCAGTTCCTCCAGGTATCTCTTGCATGTTTAGCAACTATAGTGCTTGAAATGTGAAGAAAACAAATTGAATCATCTGATGGCACCTTTTTTTTTTCTTTTAAACATATTATTATTTATTTTAATACTGCTTTATCCTGAAAGAAAATGTATTCGTAAAGGAAACATTTTTGAGAGAATAACACAAAAATGCAGTAACATGAAATTTTGTAAAAATACTTTTTAATAAATTATTTTTTTTATAACTTGCTGTGCTTTTCCACAATTTATTAATATCTGATGGATGATATTTATTATAAAAATGTTCAAAAAATAAAATATTGGCACAGTGCGTAGTGAATAAATGTATGTTTTGAATGTTTTATAATAATCGTCAATTATAAATATATTTGTGAAAAGATAAGTTAGAGAAAAAAGAAAAATGAAATTAAAAATGAATTTTTTATATATTTCTTATGTTATGCCAGTGGTTCCCAAACTTTTACACCATGGAGCCTTTTTTCAGTTAAAATTTTTCATGGTTCCCCATACCTTAAGTAAAATGATTACTAGTTATAAGTAAGAGATAAAAATTATTATAACTTCTGTATTTTCATTATTTATTTTTTTACTTTATGAATATTAAATTAATAATTAACGTGATGGATGAGCCTGCAAATCACTACACATTTTCTCAAATAATGGAATTAAAGAGGACACGGCCAACCTTATTTCCTTTTCCACATTGATTTTTGCTCTATACTTGCTTTTTATTACAACAACAGCCCCAAACCTAGCTTCACACAAATGCGACGTTGAAAATGGAATTAAAATCAACTAAACAATACCGCTTAGAAGGGGATATTCATCTTTTATTAAAATAAAAAATTCTGTCAATTCCATGCTGCCAAATTTTGCTTTCAAATTGTTTCGCAAGATAACTCGATAAGGTTCTTTTCTTCCATTGAAGTAAATTCAAATGGAGCACTACTGTTAAATGGATCTTGAATCCATGCGAACTTATCGAAATTTTGATTTTAAAAATACTTATCAAACCAGATACTTAGTTGTGATAAGTGCCCTTCAACCATGGTTTTTATATCTTGAGAAAAATCATTTGACATAAAAAATTGCTTCAATATTAAAAAACAATCTTTGTTTGCATCTTCATTCAGGTTTCTTCTCCATGTTTGAGTTCTGTTATAAAAGCTGATATTTTTTCTGATGATTTAAAAAGGTGCACGTTTTTTTTTCCTGCAGAGAGAGATTGAGAGATTTCAGCTTAAAAAAATGTTTGCATAAATATGTCAGTTTTATTAAAAAATTAACATCAGCAAATTTTCTGCATCTTTGTATCCTTCCTCTTTAAGAAAAATAAAAATTTTCCGCAATTCAAAGTGATAAAACATTACCACGAGAGAGCCATCGTTCACTGCTATAGTGCAACGAAGATGAGTGTTCAGCTCCCATATATAAAATTTTTATTTTAAGTATGATACAATTATTTATCAATGTGAGCAAGCAACCAAAATGTAACCTTAAATTTTGTATTTTAAATAATAAATCTAAAATTGAAAAAACGTCTATTCATGTTAATTTGTATCATTTGAGATTTACATTCCATCAAATTAAACTAAACTATCTTTCCAAAAGCATGAAATCTTTTAATGAAAAAGAAATTCCTAGGTTTCCTGTCCTTTGTAATACCTTACATTAGGTTGCAGGATGGTTGTAGTAGTCTGATTAAAACGATTTAATGGAGTATAAACCTTAGTTTAGGCACTATAAAGGCCAAGTTTAACCAAATCTATAATATGGTTTACTTCAATTCAGTTGTCCAGGGGACTGCTGAAAGCTCTATTTTGCTTTGCAGTTAAAGTCATATAACAATTATCACAAAATGTTTTACTTTTTCTTTGACAGTTATGAGTGCATTGTTTAATTTTACCACTATTATGAAATTCCTGCTCTACCAATGATAACATTTGGGGATTTTTTTTTTTTTATTTCCTTGTTTCTAGGACATGAAATTAACCAATTTCCACCTGACTCTTATCCACCATACTGAGTTAAGTAAAAATATATGATATGCAAAACTTTTTCAGCAGCAGGAAAGTTTCTATCATGCATTAATATGCTGGTCAATTAGCATATTTCTTGTACTTTATTTTCTGAAATTCAATTTATGAAAATAATTTATTTTCTGCTTCATAATTTTCTTCGACACTGTATTATTATGTATCAGAACAACATTTGAGACGTTAAATTTATTATAAAATTTAAAGATATTGACTACTTTTTTATGGGCATTGGAGAGTGTCTAATATTTCACTAAATGTAGAACTTTGTAATTTCAGATACTGAATTTTATTTAAAAGTGATTTGACTTGTCATTTTATGTGCAAAGTAGGTTCGTCAAAATGTCTTATGAATGAATTTAATTCATGAAACTGTGGTACAAAATGTTACAATTAGGATATTACAGTTCCCATTTCTGTACTGAGAATATTTGACAATGTTGCTGGAGAAATTGCTGGTGATAAATTAAATACAATAATTTGTTAATCTTGTCATCTAATTGAAACCACTTAAAAGTGAGATCAAATTTTAAAGTGAGATAGAGGAATCATGTGAAATTATTATTTATTCAAACAATGCAGAAAGGTTGATACTTGCACACAAACTGAGCTGTAGGATAGAATATATATGATGATGCAAATAATGCATTATGCAGCTATGTTTCTGCAGTGCCTATTTAAGGAAAACTGAGCCAATGGCTTTGATTTTGGAGATTGGTTGTATTTTGATCTCATTTCACATAAGCTATTAATTTGATATAGTTTCTTGCTTTGAACTCATCCCATTCTTGCAAGACCTTGTTTTGATTTGATACTTTCGTTTGTTAGATATAATTTGCTGTTGTGCGAGTCTGAAAATGGCTTGACTATATTTGAACTTTTACTGTTGTTGGAAAGGAGGAGTTTGCGGTTGTGGCATTAATAGTGAAATTCGTTTGAGTGAACTATAAATCCTTAAAATTTTCATTTTGGGATTATCTGTATGCACATTTGCATACTGAACAGATAAGATATTCTCTATAGCATGAAACCATACTCACATACTTGACATTTTTTAGATCTAAACTGGGACACATATCATTGGTTCTAATGTATACCCACATGGAAATGCATGTAGAGGTAAAATGTAATATTTATTTCAGGAATCAAAGAAACCATTAGAAAAGCCTGCAATGGATGCCATACTTGAAGATGCAAAAGATATGGGTCTGTTGGTTGGAAGAGGTGGGAAGTATGGAAATGTAAGTTTGCAGTTTCCTATTATTAAAATTACCTAATGGCTTGTTAACTGTTCTCATTTTATTCACAAAGTATTTTAAAATAGTGGCTGCTGACTAAATATTGATTCCAGATATATATCTGCAATTAGTTTCTTCAGCACTCCTAGTAGGAGGGTTCCTTGAATATAGAACTAACTTCTGTATGTCTTTCCTAGATCAAAAAAGTCAATTTAAAAAATATTCATTCATAAGAAAGTCAGATACAGAAAGTTCCATACCATTAAATGTGAAATTTGAAGAGATAATGCTAGCATTTAATGCTTTCATTTTACCTGTTACAAATTCATTAATAGATGTTGTCTTACCCAACATGGAAACATTAATAGCTTAAACTAGCAATTTTTCTTAGCTTATTTCTAAATCTGGGTGAAAGACCATTAGTTTTGATAAGTGAGAGGCATGAAGAATACTGTGAGCGAGTAGTTCATTAAACTTGTAGGAGTATAAGCATAATAAAAATTCTAAAAGTATTTAAATATTACTAGTTTTATCGAACAGTAATATTAAAAGAAATAATTAAAATTTATGCCTATTATTTTTTTTGAAACTTAACTAAACAAAAATATAATTGTAATTTTCATTTAAAATGGTTGCTATGCTGACATTTTCCCCCCAAAAAAGGGTTGTTTTATTAGAATACTAGTTGTTTGACAGATGAATTTTAAAATATGTTGAAGTTCACAGAAAGTGTAAATAATTTTTAATATTTTCTTTAATAAACCTGCTTCATTAGTATTGAAACTGTTTTTTCTCAGTCACCTTTATTCAGTGGCTACTAACTAATGAAACAGAAAAAATAAAAAAAGACAAGATGATAAATTTTATTATGACGTGGGTAACATCGTTATCTTGAAACTATGTTTCCCAGCAGTGCTGAAGGAAGAAGTGATTTTTGTGACAATTTGTACCATCTTTTTAAAAGAATATAGAAAATACCCCAATTAATGTTTCTTATCATTCTTGCTTTAAAAGAACGGTGAAGTGATTGCTTTATAATCTATCAGAAGTTCAAATTGTTGTAACATATACATTTTTAGATGTTGAAAATTTCAAATAGTCGGAAACATTGAGCAAAAAAAAAAGTGAAAAAATAGGAAGTGATTTTAAAAATGCAATTCAAATTTAATTTAAAATTTTTGTTCTGTCTCTTATCTGACAGTGCAAACAGTAAGTTTCTGAGATTTTTATTGTTTATTTGTTTATTAAACAAAGGTGTGTGGAAAATCGTTTAAATATTCAGTTTAAAAAAATATAAATCAAATTTTGAAAACTTCACTTCACCACATTGTATCATCTTCTATGAACAGTGTGTGTACGAATTTTAACCCCAATAGCTTACCATGAAGTAGTTTAAAATTTGATAACACATTTTTAACCATAGCGGACACTTGGAGATAATTTAATCCTTCTCACTTGGGGAATGTGACACAACATTCAAAACACTGAATCCCATTTAAAATGGAACTGCTAACCACTGACACAGTCATTCATGAGTATAAAATTTGGAAAGCTACCATATCTAATTAATATTTTTGCTGACTAGATAAATCTTTTCAGTCCGTTAGTATATTTTTTGTACTTCTATTTGTCAGGTTCGAATCACGTTGTATACGTAGATTGTCTGAAAATGATTTACAAAACATGAAGAAGAATTCTAGATCATGTCCTCATCATGAGATTTCCCTGAAATTAATCTAAAATATTGTTAGTGTGCACTGAAACAGTAAATTTGATCCACATTGTCTCAGTCATACAATATAAATTAAATAAGTATGTGTGAGTAACATATTTATACTAAGTAGTACAAATTACATATGAAAATCATGTAGCGTTCATTTTGTGCAGTAAATATATATTTTGACATATGAAAAATTAATGTCTCAGTAAGCTAAAAATCATGTTATATGGCTGTTTGGTGTATATGTTACGGTGAAACACCGAAATCTGGAGAATGTCGACTTTCACCGGTAAATGTCAACATTCACATAGTCTCTTAGTGTATGTCCGAAATATTTTCCAAATACTCTTATTTCTGACTTACACCAGTCAATGTCGACATTCACCTTGTACTAATGGTGAATGTTGAACATATAACAATATTATATTTTCTTCTCTGTAATTCAATCGCGAATAAATGCACTTGAGACTTGAAATAAGAACTTAAGAACATGAGAACCTAAAACGCACAATACATTCAGAATGAGAAAAGAAAATAATAGAAGTTTAAAACTTACTTAATTATACAGTACGTTCTAAATGAGAAAATAAAATAACAGTAATAAAAAACTTACTAAATTATGTGATTCAAATCTTATTTATTGCAACAACTTAAACTATTATGGCACTTTATGACCTCTCTTTTCGACTTTCACCAGAGCATATCTGTGATTGTCGACATACACTGGTCAGGGTCCAAATATACAAGAAAGTAGTGAAATATTCGTTCTTTCACCGACGTATTTGGTGAGTGTTGATATTCTCCGGTGAAAGTCGACATTCTCCAATTTCAGTCTTTCACGGTAACATATATTCAAATAAGATTCAAGTAGTATATTCTTCACCTGTAAGTAAGTGGATTTTTATTACTTAAAATTGTTCTGCATTTTTCTTTTCAGGTCTTTCGAATTAAACCTCCTATGTGTATCACTAGAGCTGATGCTGATTTTTGTGTTTCTGTTCTTGAAAATGCAATATGCAACTACATAAATAAATAAAATACGTAAATTACTCTTTGTCATTTGTAACCACATAAGTAATTACAGTATATATGCATTTCCCCCAATTTTCATGCTGCATTTTTTTAGCCTGGTTCATATTTTAGAAGCATTTTTAAATATTCAAACAAACTTTTGTAAACACAATTCTTTCCTGCTACTTCAGTCAGAAGCACATTTATGTAGTGGAGGGTCCCACTTATTTGAATTTCTGGAGAACTATTCATCTGAAAACAAAAGATATGTTTCTTAATTTATGATTTGGGTGCCTATAGAATGAAACTCCGGAGGCCTCATAATTGTGACTTGCATGACTCCATAAATCCACCTCTGGTCTCCATTTTATTTCCCATTTGGATTACAGTGAGTTCATATAATCTTAGTTTTAGAAAAGTATCACATGACACCATATCATAAGACTTAAAATATTTTGTGATATAAATGTATACGCAATTAAACTGCTTTTAATACAGTTCCTTTTATCAGGGATATAATTAATCTCCTCTCATCGAAAGAAAATTATTCTATGAACTCATACTTGCTCATCCCATGTATAAGCAAGTATCTAGTGCTATATGTTGAGAAACTAGTAGCTAAAGTAAAGGTGTAATACCTATTTGAGGCTAAGTTCAGCTAGCTGAAATACAAGTTTACCTTGGGTTACTTTGATTCCATGGGTCATGTTTCACTGCTAGAATAACTAAAAACTTCATGCAAACTCAATCCAGATATAAATTGATTTTAAACAGGACTTAAAAGTGAAGGGCTAGTTCATAGAGCTTTTCCTGCTGAAACAGGCAGCGGGGAGTGATGACGTAGCCATGATGACACTGAGCGTGGAGATGCAATTGACAATGTAGAAATTAGCGTTTTAAATTTGAAGAACCAGCATTTAAAATGATCTGCGTGTGAAAGATAGCTATAATTTGGAAGAGAAAATGTTACTGCAGTATGCATTTTACACTGAACATTAAAAAATTGAATAGTACTTACTCAATTTTAAAATCGAATCAATAATAACACAAGATACAATAAAATTAACTTTAACAATAACTTAAAAAAATTAGTTCTCATTTGAAATATGCTTTACGCTATTAACTTCTAAAATGTCATCTAGAAATATTTCAAATCAAAACATATTATATATGCTTACTTGTACAGTCACAATGCAACTACAAGTTGTTGAAATTTTATTTATTGGCTGCCACATTCAAAGCAATCCACTTTTCTGCCTTTTGGGGTTGCTTTGCTTTGGGAAAAAACATATGCATTTCTATTTAAGACTAATTTAGATCATGTAGTTTCTATTTAAGAAACTTATTCCAATAAAAGTTCGCACTCTGCAAAATAAACGAATTGCATCTGCATTAACTTCAGGATAATGTTTCTCCAGTTTAGTAATTAAAGAGCCAAGTAAATGCTTCCCTTTATAGTTAGTTGTACCATGAAATACACAAAATATTTTTTCGAACTCGTAAACTGCGTTCATCCATGAATGGGAAGGTGAAATCAAGTCTCCTAAGGAAAACAATTTAATCCATTCTGAATGAAATATCATTTCATCAGCACTATTTTTAGATATTTTCCCAATGATGGGTTTTTGTCCCGCATATGGTAGGAAATATAACCTGCTGATATTGCTTCTTTTTCTGCGGTCGAAAATTGTCTGTCGGAATTCAATTCTAATTTCCAAGCCGCAAAAGAAGGCTCCTCTGTAAAATCCAAATCATCAATAGTATTTAATAGGAAAGCAATCTTCCTCCTCAGTTTTCAAAGCCATTTCAAGTAATTCTGATGTTAAATATGAATCAATATTTCTCCTTTCTTTAGTTATCAGACTTTTGAAGATAATCTTGATAGCTTATTAGCGGGTAATAATTGCTTTAAGCGGCGTATAACTTCACTAGGTGATGGGTGGTCATCAAACCTAGCAAACCTTCGAATCTGACTAAAGAGATTTTCGAGTGCATCCTGTTAATCTAAAAGTTAAAATATATTTGGAAACGTACCATGATTTCAAATTCTGGTGTAAGCCAAAAAGAGAAGTTAATGAAATTATTATTCCTTTTTGGAAAGGTAGTATGTTAGATTTTCTCTGAACTCTTAATCCACCAATGACTTTCTTCATTAATTCCAAAACTTGAATTTGTTTTTCATGATGTTCATTTAATCCAAATGCTGCTTTAAGTATTTTATCTGAAGGAGGGTATGGCTTGGTACTATTCATAACATCGAAAAAATTGTCGATTAACTCAAAGAAGTCAGATGCTTTTTGATTTCCTGTGAGGTGGAGTATACCTTTTGCGGTAGTTCTTGAAAATAATGTTTTTGCTGGAGCGACTTTTCTGTCTCTCGTTTCCCTTGACCATTAAATAATTCGGTTTTTATTGTGACACAATTTAATTTTCTCCTGAATCTCTATTAAACCTCTTTAATAATATCAACATTTAAAACAGTTCCATCTTCTAAAACAATCCTTTATCTAAAAGTGGTTTCTTAGTAATTGAGCAGTGCGCTAATCTGCAAAAACCCATATTTTTTTTCGTTTGCAATACTGGATTTGGAAACTAATCGAAATCTGTAACTTTTTCCACAAAGTACTAGATCCTCCTAAATCAGACACTATTGCTTTCACTTCTACTCCAGATGATTGATTATGTCTTATGAGTGAAAAAAGAAGTTCTTCATTGGAATGTTAAAATAAAAAAAATATTGGTTGTTTCCACTGTGAAATGAGACCTCTAATTAAAACAAACTGCACTTTTTGAAAAGGACCGAGAATTTGGTCCAGTTTAGAGTCATAGCAGAGTTTAGAATCTATTTGCATTTCGTCGAAACTGAGAACGCATATTTTTTCTACAGAATTAAAATATTCGCATCTTTCCTTCATTACAGCAAGAACATCACTCTGAATTCCTGGACTACATGAAAATGTAGCTCACGATCTCCTTAATGTGCTAGTGCTAAATAAAGAATGCCCATTTTTTCTTTCCAAAAATCGTAGCTTTTAGATGACAGAGCTCTTATGACAATGCAACGTGAAATATCTTCACTAGTCCACCTGATTTTTTCCTTCTTTTCTAGCAATGCGAAATCTGCGTCTTTGTAAAAATATGCTTTAGACGTTTTTCCAAATTCTCCGATCTGTGCTGTTTTTTCCTAAATTTCACTGTTTGAGATTTTTATTTCTGAATTTCCGATACAAATTGCTTTCTAGATGTCGTTTACCTTCTTTGTCGCTGAGCAAACATTCTAAAATTTTTCTTTTCTCTATTTTTCAATATTTTATTACAATTTTCTAAGGATATTATTTTGTTCGTCAAATTATCAATACATTCTTGTTTATCTTTACACTTAAGGCATTCAGGGATATTGTCACTTAGGGCATTGTCACTTGTGAGTTTTATTTCAAAATCATTCACATTTGATTTATTATTGTCAGCTTCAATTTCGTTCTCGGGCCTCAAAATATATTTTCTTTGGGCTTAATTCGTGTAGTCTTTCAAAAGCACTCCGCATTAGTTTTCTTTCCAAATGTCTCTCTCCGATTTCTTGGTGTTATTTCGTTTACTGCATACGAATAAACTTTCTTTCGGCACAGTATTGCATTTCTAACAGTTTCTTTTGCGGCCATCCAAACAAGAGATTTCTCATTGTCATCTTCATAATCACTGCACAGGAAAATGTTCGCAGCAAATTCTTGAGTTTTTCACGCATTATTAGAATCCTGTCCTTCGACATTTATGTATCCATTCTTTCGTCAAAAGCAAATTGTCCTTTGGGAAAGCATGAAATACAATATCTCTTCCTTTCGTATTTCTATAAGTGTTACGGCACGTTGCTACAGCACAAGAAGCCATATTACATAAAGGATACTTTAAATATAGAATTTAAAAGGAAAGCTGACTAAAACTATATATATACAAGTTATTTTAAATATTTGCATTATTAGAACACAAATATGTATGATTAAAATTAATTTGGGATATGAGACCTCCAGAAAATCGTCTCGCAACTGAATGAAACTACAGTTTTAAACGCGCGAAATCAAAGCAGGTGCAACACAGACACGTCAGATTACTTCCAGTTAACCACCTCCATGAGGCTTGCGTCGGCGAGGAGTCGAACAAACAAATGACCTAGCCCTTCTATTTATCCCTGAATCTTAAACATGTTCTACCTCACTATTTGTGAGGGTTAAACTACGAATATTACAACAGAAAACTAGTAAGCACGTGGATCTGGCTGTAAATACACATTTTCCTTAAACCCGCTTCTAATTACAGTATCTAATTTCTTCACTGAGGATCCCTAACAGTTAATCATGTTCTGAAATTAGCAATCAAATATATCTTAAGATTTTTCAGTCTCACGTGCGGCAGTAGTTATTTGACAAGAGAGAAATCAAATAACAGACAGTCCGTGTTAAAGCCAAAAACTCTCTTAATACAGTTACAAAATATTCCTCTAACTTGATACTTAAACTGCTTCCCACTTAAATCTACATAAATTCTGAAACAATCAAACCTCGTGGTGAAATAAGGAAATAGGAAAGACTTAAATAAAATAAACTTTCGTTAGTGAAACTCAGACATAATGCCAAACTCGCCTCACCCAGGGAGTACAAAAAAAAAAAAAAAAAAAAAAAGTTTTGAATCACAATCCTTAAATGCACTTAATGAAAAATGTTTAATCCCAACATTTGTATCACCTTGCAGGTTGAAAGCACGAAGTGTATATGTTGTATTTCTGCATATAGTTTCACTGAATCCTTTCTGCATAGCAATTTAGTACTGATCGCATACTCTCGATAACAGCATTACAAAATCTACCCTACTGTCTAAAAATATCCCCATTTTACTCTGCTGGCCTGGAATATACCTGGTTCCTGGAAACAGCTACGTCTGTAAGGAAAGCAAAGAGAAGAATCTTATTTTTTGTACATATACGATATAATAGGAAAAGGAGATTAAATTAGCTGGTGTTTTGGGGTATACAATGTGCAGAATTCAT